GATTTAATCCCAATTAAATCTCGATCAAACGGCCCAAATTAGATCTTGATGGACGACTGTGATTAAAAGGAAAAGGGTATAAATAAACCACCCACACCTGACCACAACACCCCTAACCGTCAGTGCCTTGCCGGAGAAGAAAAACCTGGCGTCGGAAGAGTCCGCCGCCGCCACCTGCCGGCGCACCGGGGAGGTTTCCGACCTCTGATCGAGGTAAATTTTCTCATCCTTGTTCGTTTTTCAATGCTGAGTCCCCCCATGGCCAAATCAGAGCCAAACTCCCGGCCAAATGGCCAGAAAACTCAGTCGAAGCCCAGCGGCACCGCCGCGTCCCTCCTCGATTTTTGCCTCCGATGAGGCCCTTCCCAGCCTCCGTTCGATGCAAAATTTATACCACTGTGATCACTGTTCTTTTCTCTACAGGTTGATCGGAGCGAAATCACCAAAACACGATTCACGCCGGAGAGCCACAACACCCGAGAGCACCGCCGCCGGTAAGCTTCGATTTTGTATGATTTTTTGGCCCACCGAGGGCCCTAAGGTTGTTTTATCGCAGGGACCGATGCAAGTGTGGCCGAATTCGGCCAAAAACGGCCAAAAACGGCCAACCTGAGGCGAATCGCCGGAGCACGGCGGAGTCGCCGTGCCGGAATTGCGATATTGGCCAAAAGGGGCCCTAGGTCTGATTTGAGATTTTTTGGGACACGTGCAGGTTCCGGTAACGTGTTTCAGTTTCCCGGAAAAAATTCAGAGAATTTAGGGATAGCCAGCAGGCGCACGGTAGAGCCCATTTCAGGTTCCGAAACAGGTAAGGATTCCTCACCCTGTTTCCTATCACGGTATTAAAGTTCAATAAATGATAAAATGGTATTTCATGAATCAATAGATGTGTGAAATTGTTTAAGGTAGCTAATGGAGCCCGAGTCTGGTGTATTTATCGGTCAGTTATTGTTGTTCTATTTTACAGTTTTAAATGCAGTATGATGTCTGATGTTTTCATTTCATAGTTTCGTGTGCATGTATCACTGTTTCATTGATTATGGACTGAATAATTGAGAACCCGATGTTGTGTGTTGTCTTGTTGGCATGAACTACTGGTTTGCATGTTTGTGTGTGATTTGATGATGGTGACTAAAGAAAAAGGGATAAAATGTTATGTGAATTGGCAAACGGATAATGTGGACAGCCTGACTAGGTATCCTGGGAGATGGTGGATGGACCGGGATCGTAAGGAACCCTACCGAGAACGTGGTCTCTCATACCGGACGGGGTATCGAAACCTTATGTGTTTTGGCGCCCATACCGGACGGGGTATGGGGACGGCCCTGGAATCAGGTTATAAATGTTAAGGGTTCACGGATAGCGGGACCCCTATGGATCCCTATGGATAATAGTAGGCTGGTAAAAGAGGGAATTATGTTGTTAATGATTGAAATACAAGGACATGATAAGTATTATGTTATAAAGTCTATGTGATTACATGATGTTGATAATGTGTGCTTTCATATGTTGTTTTATGGATCTCACCGAGATAAGTAGATAATAAAGATTTTTATGATAATAAATGAGTTTATTATAAATTATGCTCCATTGGTCGTTTTTGTTTTCTACTCACCTTTATTCCTGTGGCAGTGAGGTAGTGTGATGTCTTTATTGGGCTAGTGTAGCTTATCCCTTACTTAACCATTTCAGATTAGGAAGACATTGTTCCCGAGCCCGTTCCGCAGGAAGACGGCGAAGGGGACGCCTAAAGACTCTATAGCTATACTTATAGTTCTTATTTAGAGTACTTGTTTTAATTAGTTTATTACTTCATATGTTGAACACATTTTTGGCATTGTGTAAGGGATGTTAATTGCAATATTTATTACGCTTCCGCAATTCAGATTAATTATCTATATGCTTTTCTTATTAAAATTTCCGGGGTCGTTACAAATCGTCCACGTCAACGCCTCTGCCACCTGGCGCATTCTGATTGGTCGGGACTGCTGATCGGGTACCTGACGCGGCGTAACTTTTCTAAATTGCGTTTTAACCATCGGTTTCTGATTTTTCTTTTAAAAATACTTAAGAATTCAAATTTTCACTAATTTTTCTCCAAAATTATTTTCAATTAAATCCTTAATTATTTTTTTATCATTTTTATTATTATTTTCATTAATTTAAATTAAAATAAATTTAATTTAATTAAATAATAATTATAATTATATAAAAAAATAAAAATAAAAATAAATAAAATATTGGGTGTTACAAATAATCTCGAATTAAATCCTCTCCTCCACCCCTGTAAATATCATTATAAATATTACTTCTATTATTAATCGTTATAATTTCTAAAAATAAAAAAAAGTGAAAAAAAATCTAAAACTAGTCGTGATTTTATAAGTTTTATAAAAAGTATATATTTTTAAATATGTTACATATCATAAGACCTCAATCAGATATATAAATTATAGATATTTATTTGTATTCTAAATTTATATAATCAATTTGGCTAAAATATAGCACTAGATTTCGTATAATTAATAAATATTCAAAGAGGGCCATCTTAAATTTTTTTTTTTTTTTGCCCGTTCAACTGCACTTTTATATTTTCAAAAATATTTTAAATTAGTCCTTAACGGTTAGAAAAATTTAACGTTGTTAATCTCTGGAGTACACATGGTGTCTAATGTGCCTTTTTTGGGTCCACGCGGGAACCATGTGGATGCCATGTAAACATCCACGTGGAACCCGTTGAAAACAAATGTGCTTCTTCATCGTCATCTTCTTCGGCCTTTTCCATCTCTAAATCTTAAACCAGATTCTTCATAATCTTTCAAGTCTCCACTACATCTCGTCTGCTCATCCTCACTATATAACCCATCAATATATAGACATATGTATGTATTATATAATCCATCAATATATACGCGAGATGTATCTATGTAACATATATATATATAGAGAGAGAGAGAGATTGAATGACGTATGTAATATATATATATAGAATAGTAGAAAACTATTCTTTTAAGCTACTCTATTTTACAGTAGAAAACATAAAAGGAAAAAAATAATTAAATTAAGAAAAGAAGAAGAATATGGATAGCAGAAGAGAGAGGCAAAAGTAGCAAAGTGTCAGGAATAAGGAAAAAGAAGCTGCAAAAGATCCAAGAAATTTTAAAAAATAAGGCAATCAGAAAACCTATTTTAGCCGAGATCAAGAAATTTGAGAAATTAGAAGCCTGTTCAAACCAAAGAAAATGCAAGCAATAGCTTAATGAAGTGATAAAAGCTAATAGGCTTTTGCTAATAGAATCAGCCTATGAAAAAAAAATATATGTATATGTATGTATGCATGTACCTATATATATATATATCTGAAGAGCGACCGACTGAGTGCTGAAAGAAAGTGGGTAATAATGAGTGAGGAAGGAAGAAAAGAAAGGAAAGAATCAAGTTAGAACATAAAGAGTGATACAGCTAACAAATTAAAGAAATACTTAATATTAATTATGATTTATAGATTATGCATCTGCTCTGTGTATATATATATATATATATGTATATATACTAGTATGGGGCATGAAGACGAAGGTGAAGCCATGGCCGGGGAAACAGTTCCTGAAAGGGGCAATTGAGAGGATGAAGAGAAGGGGAGGAGGGAAGATGAGTTGGGCTGTCTTTGGTGGGATCCACGTAGATGCCACGTGGATGTTCACATGGTTCCAGCGTGGACAAAAAAGACACATCGGATAAATACTAACGGCGTTAACTTTGTTAACGGTTAAGGACTTATTTGAAACATTTATTAATAACATAGGCGATTATTATAATTTAGGTTAATCAATTTAACGGGCTAGATAACAAAAAGAGTGGCGCTCGAATTATTAGTGGGCTCCATTGAAATCTTGAGCATTGCTCAATCAAACTCTGCATGTGCAGTGCTTCATCATCTCTAGCTGGCTTCTCTCTCTCTCTCTCTCTCTCTAGTTCCTCTACAGTTCAGCTTCTGCTAATTGGACCTGGATAAAGTATTCATGATATAGATGATACAGACACGTTAAAGAATTGCTTCAGTTTAGCTCCGGCAATTCTCTGTCTATTGTCTCTTTCAATGGATTCAACAAAGCCCCTTGATTATGCTCTGTTTCAGCTCACGCCAACTCGAACCAGGTGGGTCTCTCTTTTCTTTTCTTCACTTCTTATTAATGTGCATTACTTTGCTCTTTTACTTTCTGGGTGTCATTAATTAATTTTTGTTTATTTGTTTTTTGTGTTCAATTTTCATTTGGATGTGAAGATTTGATCTGGTTCTCTTCTACAAGGGGAAAACTGAGAAAATAGCATCTGGGCTTTTCGATTCTTTCATTGCTCACCTCCAATTCGCAAAAGATGAGATTTCAAGAGGTGGGTACTCGGTTTCCCTTCGACCACCAAATCAAGATGCTCCCTGGTTCACCAAGGCCACATTTGAGAGGTAAACCGACTTTTCTTTTCATAAAGATTTGTTATTAGTTTATGGATTGCACCAATTAATCTTAACTCACAATTGGGTATGATTCCTTGGATTTGTAAAATTCGGATGTAATTGAATAATATAGATGGTTTTTGGATCATAAAATTCTTGTGAATTTTGAAGTTGATATGTTCTTGGAGCTAGTTAATATTTGGTTTGATCTCAAGTGCTAGTTTTATCAGAACTTGCTTAAATAAACTTGTGTTGTCAAAATTTGTTCATTCTTGTAGCTTCTTAAATGCCAAATGTTAATCAATGTTTACCATTGACGCTGGAGTGACTTCTATTCAGGCCTAATATATATTTTTTTCTCAGATTTGTTCGATTTGTTAGCACACCAGCAGTTCTTGAAAGGTTTGTCAGTCTTGAGAGTGAAATCTTGCAGATCGAGCATTCAGTTCAAGCTAATGAATTGTCTAATTCGCATGTCTCCATGTCACTGGAGGAAGGTATATCTTTGAGCAAGCATTAGGATGCTTAAATTGCCCTTTGTGTTCAAAGTAGACACTTATATCATTCATGATTCACATTACATTCTCAGGAAGCAAGTTGGCTGCCAATGGTAATACAAGGAAATCAAATGATTCGTTTAAGGTATTCTATTTTTGCTGCAAAATTTGTATATCTCGATAAAGATTATTACCTTTCTATATTAATGTTCTTTATTCCAATCTGGACTTTTTTTCTGTTTCCTCTGCTACAATTTGAGCTGGAGAAGAATAATGATGCTGTAGTAGAAGAGAACTCAAAGTAACTCTTCTTATCTTTGAAATGGATATATTTGCTAAATGTATACTACTTTTGCTTGCGATTACCTTCTATTCATTTGGTTGTTTTAATGATAAGGATTCAACTCCATCGTCTTTTGGAAACTCGGAAAGCCTTGCTAAGGAGAGAGCAAGCAATGGCTTATGCTCGTGGATTTGTTGCTGGGTTTGAACTGGACAATATGGATAATCTGATTTCATTTGCGGATGCTTTTGGTGCTTCACGATTAAGGTACAAATTGCTAAGACCTCAAATGATTCTAATGCACGAGTAAGCCATAAAATGGTCTTGTAGTAAACGAAATTACTAATCATAAAGTCAATATTATTTTAAAAAAAATCAACAGTTACATTGTCTTAAATGCTTAATTTCATTTTCCTAATTTTCTATTTTTTCCTTGTTTGTTTTATTTTTTTTAATGGTAAAGCTTTGACAGTATGTTGACTAGCTATACATTTGGTAGTATCAAAAGAAATCGTTTTCGCTTCTGAAGTTGTTTTCTTCCATGAACTTGATGCTGTTTTAAATCATTAACTTGGCGAGAAAAATGAAAATTGTCATAATCTGTACATATAAATTTCTATTCGATTGCATGCCCTCACATTCCCCGATAAATTTGAGACCCTCTGGGTCACATTAATCATTGATGAGCTAGTGTCTCTGCTGAGTGCTGACTTCCCTTTGAATTACCTTTCATTTTCTTCCTTTTCTCTTCTTGCGAAGTTCTTGTGATTGTTTGAGCCTTATTCTCTCACATAGAGGGGCCAGGATATGATCAATGGCTCAAGCCTGTTCAACTCATTTTGAGTGATCACTTGCAATGTTTTTTCTGATGATATAAGCTGCTTAGTCTCAGAATCTGGTGGTATTGGTCAATATTCAGGAAAGCTTGCAGTGATTTCAAGGATCTATGCAAGAGAAAACATGGAGATGGTCTTTGGATGAAGGAATTAGCGGCAGTAGAAGCATGTACTGCATCAGAACTAGCATTATCAGAAACATCTGGCATTCTCCTTTCTAATGAGATTACTGGTCCTAGTCAGAACATAACGTTAAATTTTGCCAAATCTGCTGCTAATCTTCCATCGGATGACTCTCTGGATGCATCGAAGTCTGACACAACTACAAGTAATGCAAGTTCAGATCACAAAAAAGGTACTAATCCCATCCTTCGTGGTTTTCCTTCACAGATGCATATTATCTCTGTTTGAGTAGCAAAATTGCCCAGAGAAAATAAATTTCTACCAACATCTGAGATATGTACAAGGGTTGGATTCAGGCTTGTAGAGATGAAAATATGTCATCAACGAAGACTAAGATTCCACTAAATGGACTGTTTTCATATAAACATGTATTTATTTATTAGAAAGAAATAAGATAAGAACATAACTATAGATAGAGCAAAAATTATGCTACGACAGTAGGTAATATGCAGAATACAAAATAAACGTAGTTCTTCAGGCCCCCATTTTGAGCAAAAGACTAAAGATAGTTTTCAATCCTCTGAGTTTTGCAACAATATAATACCTCCAAAAATGACTGTAATGGTCTGTATTTATGAAAGGAAAGAAAGAAAAGGAAAGTGGTTATTTAGTTGCATAGTAGTTTGTGCTAAATTAGACAAGTGGATCCATGATATCTTTTCAAAACCATCGTTACTATTTAATCTGTTTTTGTCGTTCACTTTGTTTAAATTTGAAGGATTTCTTATATTATAACTTATTGAGCAGTTCTATTTTGATTCTTTCTTGTCTTTCCAACTTTTTCTCTTCTAAAAACCTTTTCCTTGAGTAGAATTTCTTTATTTGTTAAAAATTTCCCAGAGTAGACTCCAGGAAGCTAACCCTGATAAAAATAGAAGGAAAAATGTTTTCATGTTTGAGCATGCACCTGTTCCTATTTAATGATAATAGCAGTACCCGTTTGCTGGCAATGGAAACCGGCTGTTGTCTGATCTCAGCAAAATTTTATTGCAGATGATAATTCTGCTCTGTCAGACCAGGCACCGTTAACTAATGCAAAATTTCAAGTGCCAATGCCATTGATGAACCAGATACCTCAGTTTATGTATAATCCCCAAGGCCCCATTCAACAGCTTCCTTCATATCAAGGATACCCTTTCACTGCTATGCAGCCTGTTCCACTTCACTATCCAGGTAATATGCAGTGGCCTCCTGGCATGAAAGAATCTAATCAAAATGTCCTGAGGCACCCCGATCGTGAAAAGAATCACAAGTCATCTCTGGGAAAGAAGAAATCACTAAATAAGAAAGAACTTGAATATTCTGGAGAGAAAGATCTACAGAGTCCAGTGATTCCCATTCAGCAAGTGATTCTGACTCGGGAAGTGATTC